CGCAATAAGAAATGGAGCAGAAAATTAACGAGCACCTCACACACGTGCTTCGGATTTGTCTTTCAGGCGTGGTGCGGTCCGTTAAGGAGACCCTTAGCAGCCAGTTTGTGGAGAACTGCAAGGGCGTCGTTCAGAGGCTGACGCTGCAGGAGCATAAGATGGTGTGGAACCGAACAACCCATCTCTGGTACGTGCCCGGCGCCCGCGAACCTCCGGCTGAGGTGCCCTCAGGGGGCCTGACACGCTGAAATGACTTCAGGTGTGGCCAAAGTGACCCAAGTGCCCCAGACCTGGACCCCACAGTGGCCCCGTTACAGCTGCTGAAACAGGGCACGTTTGGCTGTTTTCAGGGCTGTACCCTTGCAGACTTCATAGAGGGGCTGTAAACGATGAGCACACAGAGTAACCCAGCGTGGGCAGAGCATTTATCAGCAGTCCCATGTTGTTGTTATGGAGGTGGCCACAGGACAGTATTTCTCGAGCAAAACAACACCTTCAAAACAGAAATTCAGTTGGATTTGGGCGATGCCCACACCCAGGGGACCCGAGGACGGTCCCGAGAGCAGCCTGGCCCACGAGAGCTGCTGAAACGAGAGCATAGCAATGCTCGTCAAGCCTTGGCTAATTGGATAACGCTTATCGAATTTGCGCTTCTGTGACAGGCAGCGCTTCTCCTCACAGGGCAGTTTCTGGCAGCCACAGGGAGATGAGGGGGAATTAGGTGGGCCGAAGCGCTCTCCCGGTGATGGTGGAAGCCCACTTCTGCGGGGACTGTGGAAGAGTTGAGGTGAAGGCGGAGGGCCTCGGGCACACCCGGATGTTGCCACGAGGGGAGAATCGCCGCTCTCCAGTGAGTCCCACCCAGATAAACTTTGCTCAGGGCAGGTGACAGCTGGCAGTACCCAAAAATGACAGGTCAGCCCACGCGGTGTTTCCCTGCCAGCCTCAGGGGAAGCGCTAATGCTCGCGTTTGCTTTATCCCCGTCTCCTTTCCCAGGAACGACTACGAGAAGATCATCCACCAGAGAACCAACACCACCCCCTTCGACCTGGTCCCGCAGGAGGAAGGTGCTGGCGTCACCGTCAGGGTGATGAAGCCGCTGGATGCCGCTGAGCTCAGCCTGGAGACGGTGTACGAGAAATTTCATCCCTCTGTCCAGTCCTTCACCGACGTCATCGGCCACTACATCAGTGGAGAGCGCCCGAAGGGCATTCAGGAGACGGAGCAGATGCTGAAGGTGGGCACGGCGCTGACAGGGGTGGGAGAGCTGGTCCTGGATAACACCATGATCAAGCTGCAGCCCCCAAAGCAGGGCATGCCCTACTACCTGAGCAGCGTGGATTTCGACTCCTTGCTGCAGAAACAAGAATCAAACGTCCGGTTCTGGAAAATCCTGACCGTCGTTTTCGGTTTTGCCACCTGCGCTGTCCTGTTCTTCATCCTACGGAAGCAATACCAGCATCACCGAGAGCAGCGGCACCTCAAGCAAATGCAGGATGAATTCCGGCAGGCCCAGGAGCGCCTGATGCGCGAAATGAACGTGGAGGGCGGAGAGACGCTCAAACACGCCTGCGTCATCTGCTTGAGCAACACCAAATCCTGCGTCTTCCTGGAGTGCGGGCATGTTTGCTCTTGCAACGAGTGCTACCAGGCTCTCCCTGAGCCCAAAAGGTGCCCAATCTGCAGGCAGGCCATCGCCAGGGTGGTTCCCTTATACAACAGTTAATTTTCCATGGCCGAGGGGAGCTTTTGGCATTAAAGCTGCCTCTCGCAAAGAGGTTTTCTCACCTCGCTACTTGGGTGGTTGATTTTGGGGAAGGGGAGGGAGCTTGAGTGAGCAGGGTGCTTCGACTGGGGCATGGAGCCAGGTCTTAAAAGGTGACAGTCCAGCTGATCAGGGCTCACATCCCGTTCCGGAGGTTTTCGGGGTGGGAGACGAGGAGTCCTCGCAAAGGGCACGGTGCTCAGCTGGGAGATGCAGTTTCGAGCTCTTCTGTTACGAGCTGGACTCTCGGGGTTTGCGTCATGGTTTACTGAGCCTGCGGTCCCTTACCCAGCTTATAAAAACATTGTGGGGGGAAAAAAAAGATGTTTTGTGGCTTCTCAGAGGCTGCAGAATTTGGGCGATGCTGCAGAATTTGGGCGATGCTGCCAGCTGGCTCAGGGACCGACAGAGCAGGGTGGGCTTTCAGAGAGCTCGTAGGGGGCTTTGTGTGAACACAAGTGATTGTGGGATCATCCGCAGAATCAGTTTGTGACCATATCACGCCAGGACGCGAGAACGGGGAGGTGAAAATGCTGCAGCTGATTTCTGCGCTTGGCTTGAGCTGGGATAGAAAATGGGATGTAAAGTAATAAAATAGGATGAAAAGTGTGTTTGTCTCGGATCATTACGTGACCCTGAGGGGGGTGACGGGATCTGCCACCCCTCTGTGCTCCCTGGGGTGTACAAGCTGCGCTGATAGACGCCAGAGGAACATAAATCGCCCCGAGCGGTGATCGCGGTTGGGGTAAGGGGGGTGGGCTCTTGTCCCTCCGCACTGAATCCGGTCGTGATGGACACTGCTGTCCCCTTGTCTGTAACCAAAACCCCAAACTTTCACACAGAGAAGGAAAATTCCCTTCCCCGACTCCCCCCATTTTGCTATAAATCACGTACAGTAGCTGCACACAAGAGGGTTAACGAACCCAAAGTAACGCTTCAATTAACATTTGCTGTGGAGGGCCCCGACTTTTCAATTAGAGAAATAGGGGCGGGGCAGGG